AAAGGGATAGCATGGTCAGAAGCCTTGCCCTCTGAGCCCAGTGTGCAGACAGTCACCTCTACACAGGGTGCTTTTCTGACTTTCTTAGTACAAAAGGGAGATAAATTAGGCAAAAAAAAAAAAACCTCAAAAATTTAAACTTTGGTCCTTTCTAACAGGGACAGCAGTATGCAGTCTGAGGGATGCTCAGGCCACAGCAGGGAGCCCCAGCCCCTGGTCCCCAGAACAGCATGCATTCCACAGTGTGTTATATTGCTAGACTATGCTATTCAGTACATTAGATTTATCAGTACACCTATCACTTAGCATATTTTCTTTTCTTTTTGTCAGTGGCGGGGCTTGAACTCTGGGCCTGGGCGCTGTCCCTCAACTCTTCAGCTCAAGGCTAGTCACTCTCCCACTTGAGCCATAGCGCCACTTCTGGCTTTTTCTGCTTATGTGGTGCTAAGGAATCAAACCCAGGGCATCAACTTAGCATGTTTCTTTCTTTCTTTTTTCTTTGGCAGCCCTGGGGCTTGAACTCAGGGTCTAGGCACTGTCTCTCAGCTTCTTTTGCTCGAAGCTAGCACTCACAAATGAAGGAGCATCTCGAGTTCTGGAAGGGAATCCAAATCTTCATAACCCTACCTAAAAAGCTACCCACTCCTTATAAAGAAGATTTAGAAAGTAGGACTGATTACTGATCACAGACAGAGTTGAAGGCAATGACTACAGTCATGTGCTGTGGCTCTGGGTCCATCTCTTTGATGTGCCCCAATCAAATGTGGCATCTGACAGTGCTTTCAGGTCCCTCCACCCCAGTTCTGAATCTCAGGGGCTTGTACCTAGGGCTTGCCTGCTAGGCGAGCCCTCTACCACTGAGCTATAACTTGAAGTAATAACAACAGGCCGTAAGTGTAAAAGGTGGAACTCTGCTGGAGAAACTGTCAGAGGAAGAGAATGGCAGGAGAGGATGCGGAGTTGGGAGAGTGAGTACGTGCTCTCCGGACTTTGTTCATATATGCAGTGATTGCTATTCATCGCTTACTTACAAGATTTATTTTTTTGTGTGAACACACTGGGGCTTTGAACTCAAAAGCCTTATGCTCTTTCTCAGCTTACCTGTTCAGTTGGTGCTCCACCACCTGAGTCTTACCTCCAGCCCTGCTTTCTGCTAATTAACTGGAGAGAGAGGGGTGAACCAGATTAAATCCGTGGTGCCCAACGGATCTAAATTTCGTAGCCTTCCACCCCAGTCCTCAGAGTAAGCACACCTCCACTAATTTGTTTCCTCTGTGCCTCACCTGAGCAAGACTCCTTATTTCAACTACTCCACAGGGTGCTTACACCCTGCCTCGTGACTTATTTTGGCTTATGGGATCCAAATGGCTCAGATTTTCCAGCCTTTAGCCCAAGTCTCTCTTTCCAACGTCAAAACTACAATCCTGTGAGACCTTTCTCCTTCAGTAGCCTCTGGAATTTCTGAGGAATGTTCTTGAGTTGGAAAAAGCCATTCACAGGACACTTGTGTCTGCTGTGGGACTGCCAGCTGTCCAGCTCCAGCACCAGTGCACTCTCAGCTGACAGAGCTGCTCCCCCAAACTGTTCTCTGGGCTGTCCTGCCCCTCCCCAGAGCAGTGGTGCCCCAGACATGTCTCTGGTCCCCCTTCCCCCACATGCAGGCCAAGGCACTCACTGAACTTAACAGGATCTGGGAGACCAGGAGAACTTACTATGGGTGTCGCGCTCTGCAGCCAGTCAGGACAACAGACTCAGGGCCGGCCCCCCTCCCCTCCGGCTCTACACCTCCCCTCCCACTCCAAGACCAGCTCATCCCTGTCTGCCAGAAAATGCAAGGTGCCTAGTAAGAGTGGGCAAAACATACGTAAGTCCTGATCTCTGGAGAGGCATATAGGAGACAGATAAGAACTAGTTTAGCAACAGATTACTACCACCAACAAAGATAGTAACACAACAAAGAAAAATGCAGCAAAAATACTCAGCCTCAGAGCTGGGGATGCTGACCTCCCCTGGGGCCCGGGAGAGAGGGTAACTGACTTCCTATCCCTTACACTCCATCTGACCAAGGAACAGCCACCAAACCCAAGGAAGACCTCACATATTTACTTTTTTCATTATTGTGCAGCCAACCCCCATGGCCGCCCCTCCCCATGTTTCATATTTCCTCGCTACAGAATTAATACAGCCAAAATCCATAGGTACTTAGCTATGTGGCTGGCTCCATTATAAACCCAATATATGCACTAATTTGGACACAAAAATGTTCTTTTTATTGTTAGTGGTTGTGGGGCCTGAACTCTGGGCCTGGGTGCTGTCCCTCAGCTCTTCAGCTCAAGGCTAACACTCTACCACTTGAGCCACAGTGCCACTTCTGGCTTTTTCTGCTTATGTGGTACTAAGGAATCAAACCCAGGGCCTCAAGCCTACAAGGCAAGCACTCTGCCACTGAGCCAACTTCCCAGCCCCCAGGACACCAAAAAGTTCTATGAAGGAATCTGACTAGTTTCTGCATTTTCAGTCAAAGAAAACTAAGGCACCAAGAGGTTGAGTAATTGGCTCAAGGTCACACAGGTGAGGGCAGAATTAAGAATTCAGGCAATCTGGTAGCCCAGCCCAAACTCTTTAAGCTTTTCCCAATAGGCTCCCTCACTTAGATAATTTACATAATCAAGATGGATCATTCAAATGTTTTCCCCAAAACAATGAAGTAATCTTTCCTGAAAGGTGCACCACTTCTGGACCTGCCTGCCGTTGTTGGTGGAAAGCAAGGTTGGCTCTCAGAATCAATTCCATCCACCTCTGGGCTTCAGTCCCAGACCTGGCCCCATGCGCCAGGCCTTCTCAGATTTCTTTCAGCTGCTCTTTCGTGGCTTCCAGGTGAGCCAGGCAAGCTCACCTTCATCAGGTGACCTTTTCTGGCTCTGTTCACAAATCACCCCTCTTCTGAACTCATGCTACTGTGCCTATCAATGATCACTGTCAATGATCATTATCCCAACTAGATTTATAGGAAGTGTATGTTTTCTCAGAGTAAACTGATGACTGTCTGGCACAGACTTAACATTCAAAAGGAATCAGGGGGCTGGGTGTGGTTTCAGCAGGAGACAGAAGGACAGTTTGTAGCTAGCCAGGGTCACCTAGCAAGACTTAGTCTTTGAATGAATGAATGAATGAATGAATGAATGATCAAAGGGCCCTCTAGCCCTAGAAGACTATGTGACTGGAAGCAAAAAACAAAGTATTTTTAAATTCTTATTGTGTCTTTATGTAATTTAAAATTAGGTATTGAAATAGCACATGGTATGTGTACACACACAATTACTATGTATCAATCAAAACAGAAAAGTATTCAAAAAGAAAAAAGGGTGGCAACCGTCTATAATCCTGGCACTAGGGAGTCTGAGGCAGGAGGATCTTGAGTTTGAGCCCAGCCTGGGCTACTAAGTAAGACCCTGTCTCTCTCCACGTTTCACCCCCCCCCAAAATAAAAAAAAAGTGAAGAAATAACCTTCAGTTAAAATAATCTTGGAGGGCTGGGAAGGTGGCTCAGTGGTAGAGCGCTTGCCTTGCATGCATGAGGCCCTGGGTTCAATTCCTCAGCACCACATAAGCAAAAAGAAAAAAGCCAGAAGTGGTGCTGTGGCTCAAGTGGTAGAGCGCTAGCCTTGAGCTGAAGAGCTGAGGGACAGCGCCCAGGCCCAGAGTTCAGGGCCCCATGACTGGACCAAAAAAAAAAATATATATAAAATAATCTTGGATATCACAACTTTAATATCCTTAACCCACAAATGTGCTATCTGGAATTCTATGAAATCTGCTACTTTTTTGGGGGGGGCGGTCCGGTTGTGGGGCCTGAACTCTGGGCCTGGGCGCTGTCCCTCACCTCTTCAGCTCAAGGCTAGCGCTCTTCCACTTGAGCCACAGCGCCACTTCTGCCTTTTTTCTTCTTGCTTATGTGGTGCTGAGGAATTGAACCCAGGGCCTTAGGCTTGCAAGGCAAGCGCTCTACCACTGAGCCACCTTCCCAGCCTGAAATCTGTTACTTTTTAGTGTTCTGTCAGTACTGAAAAATTTCAAATTTTTCTCTTCAGACTTTTTAATTAGAGATGCTCAACAGTAAAGTTTCTGCAAGTATCACACAGAACAGAAATCCACAGAACTAAAACTAGAGGACTTCTAGTCGCAAGCATTTCAACAAGGCATACTCAGCCTGTACCAATTAGTGGTAGTTATTCACTCATAAGCAATGTGCCAAGGTGTGTGTGAGGTGGCAGAGGCTGAGCAGGCCTGCTCATCCCAGCCCTTTGGCCCAGACTCAAGTCCACGATTATCATCCTTACCCCTGCACCTCAGGAACGTGTTTCAAACTGCTCCCTCCTCAAAGCTCAATACCGCTGGCAGGCTTTCCATCACCTACAGGATATGATCACTTTCCCACAGGAAAAAAAATCTGTCAGCCAGGTGTAGTGAGATATACCTGTAATTCCAGCACACAGGAGGCTGAGGCAGGAAGTTCAAGAGTTTAAGGCTAGCCTGGACTGCATTAAACAACAACAACAACAATAACAACAAAGACCCAAACAGTTCTATGTCCATTCTGTGACTGTAACAGGACACTATCCCAAGACGACCTGATCTTTGCAGTTCTGCCAATTTAGTATCATCAGGCAACTTCCCTGCTCACATAGTTCTTGTGTCAGATGGGGTACCTGCTGTTCTAATTACAGGGGATGAAAGAGTTTACAGTTAGTTTCCAAACACTATTGGGTTCTAAGTGGAATGATGCTTTTCCTAACTGCAGAGATGTAAACCTTAATGCAATGTAAAAAACATAATTAAATGAAAATCAAGTTCAAAAAGCTAACAATTCGTATTAATAATTGGTGGTAGATATTTTAGTTTTCTATTATCACTTCAATGCAGAATTAGCTTCAAAGACAAAATATATGGGAAATTGAGAACTCAGTTGAATCTTAACACAACAAATACAATCTGCTGTCACCACTTCACAATGGCTCTGTATCCACTGTGGCAGGGAATCCAGACAAACTTAGACAGGGACTCTTTGTGCTTGCATTTCCCTTCTCTAAGCAGCTTTCTACAAGGTAAACATTTGTCTCTAAATTAGTATGGAAATAGAAAAGCAATAAATGAAAAACCAGTAGATACAGGTCATCTGAAGGATTCAAGACATGTCCCCAACACCAAAGCAGTGGTACAGAACATTAACGTGACGTTTGACAGGGTCCACAACAAAGTAAGAAAATGTCTGCTCATGATTCTTCCTGGAAGGGTAGCACAGACCAGCCGAGTCCTGAAAAATTATTTAGTATACTAATATTAGTATTTTAGTATATTTTGGAAATTACTGCATGCAAGCTATAACATTTTACTATTATGTGTTTTCTGTCAAAACATCAGGAAAACACAAAAATAACACTGATTAAAAATGGGTAGTTAACTAATATTTTAAATATTTACTGACAGCAGTCTACTGTGAAGAATAGGTTTGTTCTACACATAAAGGCATAATTCTTATCCTTCAGGAATTTACAGTCCAAAGGGAAACCCCATCATTTGCTAAAAAATGCCTTTAATATGCTAGTATTAATTTTTTTAAATTGTTTTTCTGCCAGTCCTGGGGCTTAAACTCAAGAGCCCGGGCCCTGTCTCTGAGCTTATTTTGCTCAAGACTAGTGTTCTACCAATTGAGACACAGCTCCACTTCTGGCTTGTGTGTATGTATGTGCGTGTGTAAATGTGTGTGACTAATTCAAGATAAGAGTTTCATGGATATTTCTGTCCAGGCTGTCCTTCGAACTGCAATCCTTAGATCTCAGCCTCCTAGCTTTTTTCCTAGTCTCAAGAGCCACCAGTGCCTGGCCTAATATGATATTTATTATGTAAATTCTTTCTTTTCTGTGCAAGAGGCAGGGACTATTTTTCTCTCAGCTATTGTGCCCTAAGTTAGCACACTAGTGTTGATACACAGTAATCAATTTAAGTGGATGAATGGAGATACTTAGAAACGATTTCATTTGTAATATCTTCCATGTGATACTGAAATTCAGGCTTCAGAGTCTGTGATACAAAGACATTTATGGCATTTTATTGCTCTATAAATGACGGTTTAACAGACCAGGGAGCTATGTTCTGCTCCCTGGGAGCCATGGATGCAGCTCTAAAATAAGGAGGGAATATTACTAGATAAAAACAACAGAAGCCATGAGGAAAAGATCAAACTCCCCTCTAAACAATATATGTTAACACATCATCAGCTTTTTTTCTGGTCTGAAGAGCACCCTAATTGCTAGCACTAGCTGTAAGGACTCCATTAACAACAAGCAAAATCATTGGTTGCAAATTTCCCCTCCATACTTACATAGGCTGTAACTTTAAAGACAGAAGAGGTAATTTGTATTTTCTTGGTTTGTGGATGCTTTCGAACACTAAGAAGGCAAGAAAAGCATATATAAGATATAAAGCTTATTCATTATCTTGCTCATGTAACTAACTCCACTGTACAGTATCTTTACAATAAAAATATATAAAAAGAAAAGATATAAAGTTTAGTTAATTGATGGGTCAGTATATGCACAATCATATATAAAAGTGTATTCCAACACAACTGAATCCTCTTTCCATTCTATTACCAATGATTCTATACTAATATTACCTAAATATTTCTAAAATTTATCTTCCTATTCTTTTTCCCTCTTGTACTCCCTTCATTTCTTCTTCTTCCTTTTTTTTTTTTTTGCCAGTCCTGGCACTGTCCCTGAGCCTCTCTGTGCTCTAGCTAGCACTCTACCACTTGAGCCACAGTACAACTTCCTTCTTTTTCTGTTTATATAGTACTGAGGAATCGAGCCCAGGGCTTTATACATGCTAGGCAAGCACTCTACCACTAAGCCACATTCCCAGACCTCTTTCCCCCCCCAGTCCTGAGCCTTGAACTCAGAGCCTGGGCATTGTCCCTAATGCCTTTATGCTCAAGTCTAGAACTCTATCAGCTACATCACAGCTTTGCGTCCAGCTTCTTTTGGTGGTTAAAAGGAATCTCAGTGACTTTCCTGCCCAGGCTGGCTTCAAACTGTGATCCTCAGATCTCAGCCTCCTGAGTAGCTAGGATTACAGGCATGAGCCACTGGTGCCTGGGGTATCCATTTTTTTCTCTCCTTCCTTCCTTCCTACCTTTCTTACCTTCCTCCTCTTTCTGCCAGTCCTGGGGCTTGAACTCTGTGCCTGAGTCCTGTCCCTCAGCTTTTCTACTTCAAGATGAAAGCCCTCTACCATTTTGGGTAGTTTATTGAAATAAGAGTCTCATGGAGTTTCCTGCCTGGGCTGTCTTAGAACTGAAATCCTCAGATCTCAGCCTCTTGAGCAGCTAGGATTACAGGCATGAGCTACTGGCATTTGGCTTTCCCTTCATTTCTTTCTTTTTTTTTTTTTTGCCAGTCCTGGGGCTTGAACTCAGGGCCTGGGCACTGTCCTGGAGCTTCTTTTGCCCAAGGCTAGCACTCTACCACTTTAGCCACAGTGCCACTTCCGGGCTTTTCTGTGTATGGGGTATTGAGGAATCGAACCCAGAGCTTCATGCATGTGAGGCAAGCACTCTACCACTGAGCCAACTTCTCAGCCCCCTTTCATTTCTTTATGATAAAGCTCACTATACTTTCTAGGCTGGGTTTGAACTCTGAATCTTTCTGCTTCAGCCTCCCTTCCAAGTGCTGGGATTAAAGGTGTGTACCTCAAAACTGGATACTATATGATACTCTTTAAAAGTGTAATTAGGAGCTAGGGTCTAGCTTTATGATAGAGCCCTTGCCTATCATACATGAGGCCCTGGGTTTCAATATCCAGCCTTAAAATATAGTGTAACTATATTAATGTTCTAATTGTTTTGTTAATATCATTTGTCATATGAAAATTAGTACTATATTAATTTTAGGGTATACAGACTATATATACTAGGCATTCAGAAAATCAAGAACCCTAATGCTTACCTAGCATCTGAAGGCCATAAGCTAAGCTTCTTCAATCAGATAATAAAATTCTACATCTGGGATGGATATGTGTCCTGGAGGATTCTTCAAAAACTTTAGCAAGTACACATGTTTAATGTGTCAAGTAGAAGAGACACAGGCATGATTGGTAAGTATGAACTTCTGTATGTGCCTTTTTGAAATGTAACAAAAGAATTGATCATTTAGTTTACTAAACTGCTTCTGAAGTACTGCTTACTTGATTGGAAGCATTTGCTAAAAATTTAAGGTATATTTTGAATAATCTGTAATAATAGATAAGGATGAAAATATTTTAAGAGGGGCTGGGAATTTGGCTCAGTGGTAGAGCGCTTGCCTTGCATGCCTGAGGCCCTCAGTTCGATTCCTCAGCATCACATAAGCAAAAAGAAAAAAGCCGGAAGTGGCGCTGTGGCTCAAGTGGTAGAGTGCTAGCCTTGAGCTGAAGAGCTGAGGGACAGCGCCCAGGCCCAGAGTTCAGGCCCCACAACCGGACCAAAAAAAAAAATATTTTAAGACTTCTACCCTTTTGTTTGAACAAGATGTCCCTAAGCCATAATTCACAGTGTGCCCTCAGCAGCTTCAGACATCAGGAGTAGACGTGGCTAGAATAGATGACTGCCATGGGAGGTTAGCTGTTACATAATAGCTACGGTACAATAGTCTGAAAGCTAAATTGTTTCCTAGTGTATGTGGAAACACTTATAATCAGCTAAAGAAACCTGAAAAATATCCTCCTTGGCGAAACTGGCTGGTGTAGATGACATGATTGGACATGTGGCTCTGGATTCTGAGAAGCTGCCCAGGATGCATCAAGTTCCATCTATACTCACCAATTCTGGCTGCTCATTTTATTATTATTATTTTTGTCGGTCATGGGGCTTGAACTCTCCGCCTGGGTGCTGTCTCTGAGCTCTTCAGCTCAAGGCAAGTGCTCTACCACTTGAGCTATAGCACCACTTCCAGTTTTTTAGTGGTTTATTGGAGATAAGAGTCCCACGGACTTTTCTGCCCAGGCTGACTTTGAACCATGATCCTCAGATCTCAGCCTCCTGAATAGCTAAGATTACAGGCATGAGCCACCAGTGCCTGGCCTGGCTGCTCATTTTATAAGTGCTCATTATGGGGCTGGGAAGGTGGCTCAGTGGTAGAGTGCTTGCCTTGCATGCATGAGGCCCTGGGTCCGATTCCCTAGCACCACATAAGCAAAAAGAAAAAAAAAAGTCGGAAGTGGCGCTGTAGCTCAAGTGGTAAAGCGCTAGCCTTGAGCTGAAGAGCTGAGGGACAGTGCCCAGGCCGAGTTCAGGCCCCACAACCGGACCCACCCCCCCAAAAAAAGTGCTCATTATGGCCATTCGTTTTCATAGAGCTGCCCCCCGCCCCCTCAAAAAGTAGAAGAAACTGTAGATAATAATCTATGGATAGGAAGGTTGAGGAAAGCTGCAGCTTCGGCAGTTTGTGCTCTGAAGCCATTTGTTTTGAAGTGTGAACTAGAATCTCTTCTCCACAGTGCATGGCAGTAAGCAGTTCCACGTGAAGATGTGGTGCACTGACTGTGGCAGTGGGACACAAGTGTGCCTACGTGGAGAGCCACACTGAGGAGAATCCTTAAGAATGCCAGAGCTGCCTAGCGAGTTCTACATGAGTTTCCAATGATTAGGAGAGACGTAAGCCTAGCTCTTCAACAATCTTTACACACCAACACAGCAATTCTTTTTCATTAAAAGCAGCGATTATAGGAAGTAGAGCTGTGGCTCAAAGTGGCAGAGTGTTAAAGTTGAGGAAAAAAAGCTCAGTGACAGCACCCAGGCCCTGAGTTCAAGCCCCACTACTGATGACAAAAACAAAAACAAAAATCAGAGATTGTAAGCATACAGTTGTTTTGAAAACCACACCAGAAACTAAATAAGTAAAATAGTTGTCATGCAATTTTTATGCATGTAAGGAATGGATATAAAATTAAGGTATTGTGTATAAGTGAAATAAGTAAGAATCTGAGAAGCTAAATTTGCTTTCCAAGTGGTGTGAAATTATATAATTGAATTCTGGAACTTTTGCTTTCTGAGGTTCTGTCTTCCTTACCTATAAAGATGATCCAATGTTTCTTTTTTCTTGACCATTTCTTTTATTGTAAAGATGCTGTACAGAGGGTGGCAGTTGCGTGAGCAAGCAATGAGTGCATTAGTTGTCTATCACTGTCACCTTCCCTTGTTGTCCCACTTCCCTCCCCCACCAATGTTTTCTTTTTCTTTTTTTTCTTTTTTGTCATTCCTGGGGCCTGAACTCTGGGCCTGGGTGCTGTCCCTCAGCTCTTCAGCTCAAGGCCAGTGCTCTACCACTTGAGCCACAGTGCCAACTTCCGGCTTTTTCTGCTTATGTGGTGCTGAGAAACCAAACCCAGGGCCTCATGCATGCAAGGCAAGTGCTCTACCACTGAGCCACCTTCCCAGCCCCCCCCCAATGTTTTCTTAATTGAAAATATATTTACTTTAGTTAAAAGTATAAATAAGCCGGGTGCCAGTGGCTCAGGCCTAATCCTATCTACTCAGGAGGCTGAGAACTGAGGATCTCGGTTGAAGCCAGCCCTGATAGGAAAGTCCATGAGTCTCTTATCTCCAATTAAGCACCAGAAAACTTGAAGTGGTGCTGTGGCTCAAGTGGTAGAGTTCTTGCCTTGAGCTGAAGAGCTCTGAGACAGCACCCAGGCCTGGAGTTTAAGCCCATGACTGACAAAAAAAAAAAGTATAAATAAGAAATTTGCCATAAGTAGAAGCTAGATCTAAAATACACTGGGGCATGATAAATAATACAGCACTCTTAAGCATTTGCACACACAGTGAGACCAATGGAGGATACTCTTAGGGGAGAAACACAAAGGTGCAATGCTTATATACTTCAACAGTATATATGGAAATAAACTCCAGGAAATGTAAATAAGGAATTTTTGTTGCTTTCTTTTCATTTTGTTTATCTGTCTTTGGGTGGACGCAGAAATGGAGGGACAAAAGGTGAACAAATGCAGGAGCAGTCCTCAATGTACATTGTGTTAAAAATGAACTATAGCTGGGCACAGGTGGCTCAGGGCTGTAATCCTAGCTACTCAGGAGGCTGAGATCTGAGGATCACGGTTCAAAGCCAGCCTGGGCAGGAAAATCCGTTAGACTCTTATCTACAATAAAAGCCACTAAAAAACTGGAAGTGGCATTGGGCTCAAGTGGTAAAGCGCTCATCTTGAACTGATGAAGAGCACAGGGACAGCACCCAAGCCCAGAGTTCAAGCACCATGTCCAACAAAAGAACTATACAACTTGTGGGTGGGGCCAGGAGGGAACAACTGAGAGATAGTGAGGGAAGGGGGCATTGTCCAAAAAGAGATGTACTCATTGCCTGACTTATGCACCTGTAACTCCTCTGTGTATCACCTTTACAGTAACAATAAAGAAAAACTCATAGTGAGAAACCAAAAAATAAAATGTTCAAAAAAAGAAATTTCATTCAAAAGGAAAGGGGAGGGACAAAGAAGAAAGGAAGACACTAGGCTTATTTATTTATTTACTTATTTATTTATTTAGTGGAGCTTGGACTCAGGGCTTGGGTGCTGTCTCTTGGCTTTTTTTTTGGTCGGTAGTGGGGCTTGAACTCTGGCTTGGGCGCTGTCCCTGTGCTCTTCAGCTCAAGGCGAGAGCTCTACCGCTTAAGCCACAGCACCACTTCCAATTTTCTAGTGGTTTATGGGAGATAAGAGTCTCACGGACTTTCCTGCCCTGGCTGGCTTTGAACCGAGATCCTCAGATCTCAGCCTCCTGAGTAGCTAGGATTACAGGCATGAGACACCGGCGCCTGGCTTCTTGATTTTTTTTTGCTCAAAGCTAGCATTCCACCACTTGAGACACATCTCTACTTCTTTTTGGTAGTTAATTGGAGATAAGAGTCTTAAGAACTGTCCTACCTAGGCTGACTTGGAACTGCAATCCTCAGATCTCAGCTTCCTGAGTAGCTAGGATTACCAGTAGGGGCTACCAATGCCTGGCTTGGATTAACTGAAAAACTCACTATTACACCAGAGGGAAATTCTTACACTTCTTTGGAACAAAGCTAATAATTTTTTACAATTAGCTAAGCAAACTCCAACATCCTGAGGCTCTCCTCCACCCCTCTTGTGAGACTGAGAAGAAAGCAGGTAGAAAGGAAGGTCCAGAAGACAGCAGTTGCTCAAAACAGAAGCATGGGTGATAAGTCTGAATTAGGAAACAAGAGATGGATGAGAAATGAGAGGAATGAGAACTAAAAGAGAGTTATGGAAATGTAGAAATCTCTAGCCTAGAAGAGGAGCATTGAGCTACAATAGCTGATGCATGGTACTTGCATTTTTACATACTGTGTTGTAGAAGAGTACAAGAGAGGGTCCTGGCGGTTGTGTTTTACAAACTGTGGTATAGGAGGCTGCAAGAGATCATGGGAGTTGTGCTTTTACACACTGAGGTTGTGGTGTAGGAGGTTACAAGAAGAGATCGTGGTTGTACTTTTACACACTGTGGTCATGGTGTAGGAAGCTACAAGAGGAGACTGTGGTAGTTGTACTTTTACACACTGTGGTCATGGTGTAGGAGTTTACAAGAGGAGATTGTGATAGTTGTACTTTTACACACTGTGGTCATGGTGTAGGAGGTTACAAGAGGAGATTGTGGTAGTTACACTTTTACACACTATAGTTGTGGTATAGGAGGTTACAAGAGGAAATCGAAATCATTGTGCTTTTACACATTGTGGTTGTGGCATTTAAGACCACAAAGAGATGCTGGGAAACTCTACACGGCTGAACAAAGAATTGGCTCTATTAGCCAAAGACTTGCATATTGTTATATAGCAACATTACCTCACCAGATCCTTATAGAGAAGCTTTGCTGTTTCCAGGTATGGCTTGAGTGTATCTTCATACTGACAAAGGGATCCACCAAGGCAAAGATGTTTAAAAAGACAAAATAAGAACTCATCTCTATCCGGCTGGCTGAATACTTCATATTTTTCTGAGTCTTCCATTAGCAATACCTAGGATGACAAAATTCTTCTTAATGTAATATTACCCAAGGTTCTAATTTTGTTGTTGTTGGTGGTGGTGGTTATGGGGCCTGGGCGCTGTCCCTGAGCTGTTCAGCTCAAGACTAGTGCTCTACCACTTGAGCCACAGCACCACTTCTAGCTTTTTCTGCTTATGTGGTGCAGAGGAATCGAACCCAGGGCCTCATGCATGCAAGGCAAGTGCTCTACCACTGGGCCACCTTCCCAGCCCCATCAAACATTTTATCTTATTCTCCATGTTTGCAGTCTAAGATCTTAGGGACTAAGTATGACATGGTGTGTATGTTTAGAGCTGAGCTACCTTCCCAGCCCCCCAATGTTCTAATTTTTAAGTTTAAATTTTCAACTTATATATTTAAAAATAAATTTATATTTTATTTATAAAACAAAGAAACACTGGGAATCAAACCCTGAGCCTTGCTCAAGTGAGACAAGTGCTTATTAACTAAGCACATTCTACTCCAATCTTGGATTTTTTATTTTATTTTATTTTTGGTCATGGGGTTTGAATTCAGGGTCTGGGCACTGTCCCTGAGCTCTTTTGCTCAAGGCTAGCACTCTACCACTGTGAGCCACAGTGCCACTTCTGGTTTACTGGTAGTTAACTGGAAATAAGAGTCTCACAGTCTTGGCTGCCAAGGCTGGCTTTAAACCGAGATCATCAGGAGCTGGGAAGGTGGCTCAGTGGTAGAGCATTTGCCTTGCATGTATGAGGCCCTGGGTTCCATTCCTCAGCACCACATAAGCAAACAGCCGGAAGTGGCGCTGTGGCTCAAGTGGTAGAGCGTTAGCCTTGAGCTGAAGAGCTGAGGGACAGCGCCCAGGCGCAGAGTTCAGGCCCCACGACCGGACCCAAAAAAAAAAAAAAACCGAGATCATCAGATCTCAGCCTCCTGACTAGCTAATATTACAGACATGGGTCCCCAGCACCCAGCTTGAATGTCTTTTAAGAACAAATCCTTAAGCAACTGCAGAGTAATATGATATACACATATTTCCCCCTGTTTTATGGCTGTGTACTAATGCTCCATACAAGAATGGATCCAGGGCTGGGAAGGTGGCTCAGTGGCAGAGCGCTTGCCTTACAAGCCTGAGGCCCTGAGTTCGATTCCTCAGCACCATATAAGCAAAAAGAAAAAAGCTGGAAGTGGCGCTGTGGCTCAAGTAGTAGAGCTCTAGCCTTGAGCTGAAGAGCTGAGGGACAGTGCCCAGGCCCAGAGTTCAGGCCCCACGACTGGACCAAAAAAAAAAAAAAGAATGGATCCAATCTTCATGCATAGCCTTGAAGTCATACTCTTCACCAAAACACAGTTTAATGTAGTTAAGAAAGCCCATGAGACTCATCTCCAAGTAACCACTAGAAAGCCAGAAGTGGCACTATAGCTTGAACAAAAGAGTTCAGGGACAGCCGCCAGGCCCTGAGTTCAAGCCCCACAAATGAAAAAAATAAAAAATAAAAAAGTATTTCATGGGTTTTAGGCAGACAAAAGTTTTGACAATAATAAATAAAATTTCACTGTAAGACTTTAACACTCTGTACTTAAAAATTTCACTGTAAGACTTTAACACTCTGTACTTACTTTTCGCAATTCATCAGAAACCATAAATGGATCACAAAAAGAATCTAAACATTTCACAATATGTCCACTGTCTCGTACAATATCTTCTTCATATAACCGATTAAAGAATGACATTGAAAGCTGGGTGCAGGGAACATTTGTAGCTTCAATTTTTTTCACTTCAGTTCCTAAATATTTTGTAAAAAATGGAGATAAAGTCAACATTCTCAATTAGTTCTGAATAAATCACTGTGCTGAATTCCCAAGAAGCAACTGAATATGGCCCAATGCCTATTTTGGTAGTTATGTGCTGTGTGTTTTAGTCACTGATGGCTGTGTGTACCATGGCAGTCCCAAAGATGATAATAGAGCGGAAAAATTCCTATTGCCTAAGTGATGGAGCTATGATATCATCATAGCTCATACTTTTCTCCTGTTTGTGATGTCGGTGTAAACAACCCATGCACTGCTAGCCATAAACAAGTATAGTTCATACAGTTATATACAGTACACAGTACTGAGCATAAATGACTATGCCCTGGTTCATATGTCTACTGTACTTTCTATAGTTATTTTAGCATGAATGCTTTTACTTAGAAGCAAGATTCCTGTAAAACTTGTTGTGCTAGGCTATAGTATCTATGTCTCATGTTTGGGCTCAAGTAAACACTAAGATGTTTGCACAGTGGCAACACCACCTAATGAAACATTTCTTAAACCATATTCCACTGTGACACAATGTATAGCTGTAACGAAAGACACTGATTTTTATTAAATTCCTATTTTGTGGCCTATTCACACTTCACTAATCATGAAACATTTATAATTAAACCTTACCATTTCTGGACTAGACAATTATAAATTAGGGAATATCTGAAAGTGAAATACATGTTTTATGTGTAATAAGGGATTCTTACTGGGTTTAATGCATTTATCAGAATTGCAAATAAGACCTCTTTATGATTTGTTTTATGCTTAATGTTTTAGAATTCATATTGCAAAAAATATAGGAGATTACTAAGTTTTGGAGGGTATCTTCTTAAAAATATATGATTTTCACTAAAAATCAAAACAATAATAGAAAAACAACAACACCTCTGTAATCTCGTATACAGTGTTTATTACAAAAAAGGATTTCAGGTTGGGAATGTGGCTTGGTGGTATAGTGCTTGCCTAGCATGCATGAAGCCCTGGTTTTGATTCCTCAGTACCACATAAGCAAAAAACACCAGAAGTGGCTCTGTTGCTCAAATGGTAGAGTGCTGGTCTTGAGCAAAAGAAGCTTAGGGACAGTGCCCAGGCCCTGAGTTCAAGCCCCAGGACTGGCAAAAAACAAAAACAAAAACTTTCCAAGTCAAGGTAAATTTCAAACCAGGCCCTAGTCAAGTTTTATAAGTTCAGAATTATAGAAATTTGGAATATTAATGGCATTTTATCTACTTTTCTTTTTTTTCCAGCCCTGGGGCTTGAACTCAGGGCCTGGGCGCTGTCCCTGAGATGCTTTTGCTCAAGCCAAGCACTCTACCACTTGAGCCAGAGCACCACTTCTGGCTTCTTCTGTTGATGTGGTACTGAGGAGTGGAAGGCAGGGCTTCATGAATGCTAGGCAAGCTCTCTACCAACTAAGCCGCATTCCCAGCCCTACTCCCTCTCTTTTACACATCCACACACACACACACACACACACTCTCACTCACTCACACAGGTACGAAGAGATGGTATTCTGTTCAGAGTAGAACAAGGTGTGGAACCTCTCTATTGCCTCTCCTGTGTAAATCTGCTGTACCTTCCATCTGCAAAGCAGCTGTGTTACAAGTAAGCGATACTGGCAAGCTGGCATGCATCTACCTGTAGCACTAGGAGGCTGAGGCAGGGGGGTGGCAGGTTTGAAGCTAGTATCAACAAATCAAACAAAAGCCCATATGACGGCCATTGTTGGCACCACTTAGTTTGACTGTCCAGCTAAGGTCATGCTGGAACCTGTTGTTTGATCCTTAACTGGGCTAAGATAGAGACAAGGACGCCCGAAGGCAGGGACTGTGTATGCCTCAGTAACTTCAAGAGCTATGTTGCTAAGAGAAGCTCTTCTTGTTTCAGAGGCGAATACTCTTGGGGATCAGATAAAGTGAAAAGTCCATAGCAGCATCGTTCTGAGCTCAGTTGAAAGACATATGAATAGAGCTGTACAGTCTGACCACTTTAGAAAACTGGTCCCTAGCCACAGCAGGAGAGACAACATGCTTGCTTCCTTTTCTTTTTTGCTTTATTGAAATGAGGCCTCACAATGTAGCCCAACCCAACTTGAGATTTTCTCATGTCCACCTCCTTAGCTACCATGCCCCACTCGGAGAGTAGCAGGACGGCTTAGAAGAACAGGAAAAAGAGGAGATGTAAGCAAGCTACTGGAAGAGTGCTGGCAATCTACTGGAACTTCTTTTTTTTTTTTGCCAGTCCTGGAGCTTGAACTCAGGGCCTGGGCACTGTCCTTGAGCCTCTCTGTGCTCAAGGCTAGTGCTCTGCCACTTGAGCCAGAGCACCACTTTTGGCTTTTTCTGTGTATATGGTGCTGAGGAATGGAACCCAGGACTTCATGCATGCAAGGCAAGCACTCTACCACTGAGCCACCTTCCAGCCCCCCACTGGAGCTCTTACTTCTGAGACTCATTGCTGTTCTGACCTACTTTTCAGAGCACTTTTTTTTTCTTTTTGTCGGTTGTGGGGCTTGAACTCTGGGCCTGGGCGCTGTCCCTCAGCACTTCAGCTCAAGGCAAGCGCTCTACCACTTGCGCTACAGCACCACTTCTGGTTTTCTGGTGGTTTATTGGAGATAGGAGTCTCACGGTCTTTCCTGCCCAGGCTGGCTTTGAACCGCGATCCTCAGATCTCAGCCTCCTGAGTAGCTAAGATTACAGGCGTGAGCCACCAGCGCCCGGCTTTTCAGAGCACTTTTAACTGATCCTGTCAGGCACATGGGAATTTTAGAAGTTTTTTTTTTGGGGGGGAGACAATGACTTATTCAAAAATCAGACAAAGTTCAGTGCTATTTAATAAAGTATGTGCCATTATAGAGGGAAGTTGATCACATTTCAAATGCATTGCCTCCAGTTAACATAAACATGCTTTCTAAATTCAGTGATATATGGCTCTGATTATTCTGCTTTGGAAGTTTTGCATTGGAAAATATTCTGTGCTCAGACACTCAGTTTAATTCTGTAAGTGATCATGCTGTACCAGATTTTTGCTCTATAAATTTTGCAGTAGTATTTAACCAAAAGCAATAAAATATGGTCTGTTAAGTCTAACATCATGAACTGCTTGTAATCTTGTTCTTACTTAAAGAGAAGTTTTGTTTTTGTTTTGGGTCTGGTTGTGGGGTCTGAACTCTGGGCTTGGGCGTTGTCCCTCAGCTCTTCAGCTCAAGGCTAGTGCTCTACCACTTGAGCCACAGCGCCACTTTCGGCTTTTTTCTTTTTGCTTATGTGGTGCTGGGGAATCGAACCCAGGGCCTCATGCATGCAAGGCAAGCACTCAACCACTGAGCCACCTTCCCAGCCCCAGCAACTGCTTTTGTTAGCTTTTTTTCTAATGGTAAGGGAATGCTTTGGGTAAATTGTCAAGTTACAAAACTAACTTCTCGGGCTGGGAAGGTGGCTCAGTGGTAGAGTGCTTGCCTTGCATGCATGAGGCCCTGGGTTCTATTCCTCAGCACAAGACAAGCAGAAAAAGCCCAAAGTGGTGCTGTGGTTCAAATGGTAGGGCGCTAGCCTTGAGCTGAAGAGCTGAGGGACAGTGCCCAGGCCCAGAGTTCAGGCCTCACGACCAACAAAAAAAAGCAATTGCTATTTCCTTAGTATTCTCTTTCTAAATGGAATGATGTTTTTATAGTATTGAGACTCCAGTCTTACGAGTGTTTGGCCAAACATGATGACTCATGCCTGTAATTCCAGCTACTCAGGAGGCAGAGACAGAATCCTGGTTTGAGGATAGCCTCCATCCCACAGTTCTCAAGATGCTATCTCAAAGAACAAGGTGGGTGTGGCACATGCCCATAACCCCAGCTCTGAAGAAGGCAGAGGCTGGAGGACCTGGGACTGAGCCTGGCCTCAGGCAAAATTTTTTTAAAAAAACAGTGCTCTCCTCTTGGTTAAATGTTTAAATGTTGGGAATAAAAGTTCTAGTTGTGTTTCGGTGTATTATGAAAGGGTTAACTATATAATGTTCTCCAGAGTCTGTAAGACACTCTTCTATGATTTAATATAGCATTATTAAAAATAATGTTCCATGGTAGCCCACTCCTCAGTCAGAAACCAACACCCCATTTGTCTAAACATCCCCATATTAGGAGAATCTTTGTGGTCCACATGCTTCTATGTACATTAGACTTGTACATTATCCAATACACACCCTTGTATATTTGAATGTACCAAGTAGTTCTTTGAGTACAAGTTTTCTCTTACATTTTCAGTGCTCCCTGCAGCTAAGAGAGGAAATGGAAGATGCACAAAACTTTCCAAAATAAAGAAAAAGGAAAAAACTGGTTCTCTGTGCTAAGCCAGGACTGTAGCAGTTGACTCCCAGGATAGCGATGCAGGCAAACCTGCCGCAGCTGGTTAAACTTGCTCCTCTTCTTATCAAACAGATGAGTCATTCTTTTTTGTTTTTGTTTTTTTTTTTTGCCAGTCCTGGAGCCTGAACTCAGGGCCTTGGGCACTGTCCCTGAGCTTCTTTTGCTTAAGGGTAGCACTCTACCACTGAGCCACAGCGCCACTTCTGGCTTTTTCTGTACACGTGGTACTGAGGAACTGAACCCAGGGCTTCATGCATGCTAGAAAAGCACTCTACCACTGAGCCACATTCCCAGTCCAGAAAAGTCCCTCTTTACAATTTGTATTTAATAAGAATTCCTGAGGAAAATTTTGTCATAATAGCTAAATAGTCACTTGAAAAGTTAAAAATTTCATTTACCTAGTGTAATCCACTGTCCAGAAGAATCTGAAAGTAACTGCAGATTTGGAATAACATTTGGGTCTTTGAAAAAAGCCTAAAATAAAAATTGAAAAAGAACATGTCAAATACTTTATCATGATAAAAAATCAATTTGCAAAATAGCTTTAGTAAAATCTCACATAATATAAATTAGGAAGGCAACTTTAAATTGGCAAAATATAAATGTTTTATAAAAGAGTCAAATTTTAGGGGCTAGGAAGATGGCTCAGTGGTAGAGCACTTGCCTTGCATGCCTGAGGCCCTGGGTTCGATTCCTCAGCACCATAAGTAAAATGAAAAAAGCCGGAAGTGGCTCTGTGGCTCAAGTGGTAGAGCGCTAGCCTTGAACTGAAGAGCTGAGGGACAGTGCCCAGGCCCAGAGTTCAGGCCCCACGACTGGACCCAAAGAAAAAAAGTCAAATTTTATTATATTTGTTAGGATTTATAGTATGATCCACATTGTTGTCCAAGTAAAATATGTTTAAAACTTAATACAATTAAAAAAATTCAGAAAAATCTCAGGGACAGCACCCAAGCCCGGAGTTCAAGTCCCACCCTTTCCCCTTCCCCCCAAAAGGTACTTTTTTGGTATGTATTTGCTGATGGCACTGGAGCTTGAACTCAGGGTTGTCCCATAGCTTTTTTTTTTTTTTTTTT